CTCTAATAAATTTGTTAGTCTCTAAGGTGCCACAAGTACTCCTGTTCTTCTTTTTGCGGATACAGACTAACACGGCTGCTACTCTGAAACCTATGATTATAATATAATCCTTTCTGACCTTGGAATCTATCTACCTGTGGAACATGATGGACTAATGCCTAGCGAGACAGTGTATTGCCTTGGTGAGCGCATATGGCTGGCTGTCGGGAGAACTGAGTTCTCTTCCTTTTTCTGACACAGCCTGGGCACCTGAGCTCTGCTTTCTTAAGTTCTCGGTCGGTCGGTCTGTCTTACATCCGTTCATCTCAGGCTCTCCCCAGGGTATCCGAGTGACCACGCAATGCCGCCATCAACAGCAAACTATTGCAAATACATGAGAGTCAAGCGTAGTCTCCCTGCTGTACCAGGGCAGCTGATAGGTACTGATTCAGTACATTCCCTCAGCAGCCCCCTTCATCCCCGCCCCATGTGCAAACATGGCAAGTGCTGGCAGCCTTCTGGGTGAATTCCCCTCCGTGCTATGGGCCAGGCTAAGCAGGGAGGTGGAATGAGTCTGGCCCAGTAGATATAATGAAGTGTTTCATAAACTCCCAATATTAAACACATCTCTCTAATCTAATTCCTGTTTAAACAATGCTAACACACAGGTGAGCCAGACTGGTTTCCAGCTCTGCGTTCATCAATGTTCAGTGTGGTCTAGGGGCCTTGGCATGAGCTGGCACCTGGCCTGCCAGTGTCACAGAGGGTGGGGAACGGAAGGATCTTTTACAGCCTGAGGCTGCCATCCTGGTGCCAGCCAGGCCTTCCCTGTCTCTGCGTTGGGCCGTGCCCAGGTGTGAAATTAACTAAGAGTGGTGAGAAATGAGAAGTGAGAGGCAACATCGACTCTTTGTTTGCTGTCTCTTTGCTTTCAGCCCGCTTTCTGTCTCTCCCCTGAAGGGCTGGCAGCTGCTTCCTTCTAGTTCCTGCCAGTGGGTCAGTCAAATTGATTCTGATCGTTTCTTTAAGTCGCTCCTTGGCTATAAACAGAAACACTTTCTTCTTAATGCGGTTTTAATTCTAGAATCGAACAATTAGTAGATCGTTGTCCCCTATTGAGCTGTTTTGCCTCTTCTCTGCTAAAGGAATCAATCGAACAGGTATTCACCACATGTGTAGGTGTATGCAGCTCATTTGCCAGAACACATGTAGTGAGGGGTTGGATTTGGAGATGCTCTGAATCCATATGCATGTCTGTACCCACCCAGGCAGAAGCACAGGTATGTCCGAATCCACACACACACAAAATCCACGCGTGTATAGATTAACATACTCACACAGATCCCCACACATACACACAGACCACACCCGCATGTATGTGTGAATCTGCCCTCTCGCAAATCTATACATATGTGTAGTCAAGTGTATGTATGAAGAAAGAGCCACGTGCATTGAGAATCTGCACACTCCCGCAAATCTGCACGTGTTTACAGGCACACACAGACAAAATCACACATGTCTGAATCCACAGTCATACAAAACCATGGCTGCATATGCAGCCCTTGACGTATGCCAGGTGCATGCGCACACACCACACACGGATGTAATACTCACCCATCCCCTGCCCCAAAATCCCATACACAGGCTTACTTGGACCTCATGTGCCTGTCGCAAGATCATTGACATAGCACAAATATATATACACACACACACAGGAAAACACCAAATAGCTCTGCTCAGAACCCCTGGCTCCCGTTCTCTGTGATCAACTCCCCTCGGACTCTCTGGGGCAGCTTCCACAGAAAGATCTTTCTGTGGTTTGTAGCACAGACGATCCATTGACTAAACTACGCAGATAGGAACATAGGGATAATCGGCTCTGATCCAGCTGTGGGTACGTCTAGATCAGTGTCCTGTCTCGGGGGGCAGCCCCAGATATAGCAGAGGAAGATATGAGGACCCTGCAGTAGCAGAAGTGGGATAATCTACTCCCACCTAGGTCTGTTCCTGGTCTCTAACAGCTAGAGATTGGCTTAAACCCTGAAGGACATGGTTTAACAGCCCTCTAAAATTATTATCATACTAAATCTCAGGGGGAGGGATAGCTCAGGTATTTGAGCATTGGTCTGCTAAACCCAGGATTGTGAGTTCAATCCTTGAGGGGGCCACTTAGGGATCTGGGGCAAAATCAGTATTTGGTCCTGCTAGTGATGGCAGGTGGCTGGACTCAATGACCTTTCAGGGTCCCGTCCAGTTCTATGAGATAGATAGATATATCTCCATAAATCGTTAATGCACATGCACGGAGGAGACTAAAAGCCAAGCTACATATACATGGTGCACACCCTGACATCCAAGCACAGAAACCACACATGTGCTTTTTTAACACACATGCAACCACACACAAGCCGATATGTGCCAACATGCAGCCCTGCCCACACCTGCCTGTGCACTCCCCTTCGGACATGAGCACGGATGTGCTGGTGCAAACGTACTCACATGCACATCTGCTCTCACACATGCACTTATGTTCACTGGTACACACACAATCATACAGCCCTGCACAACAAATACACCCATCATGTGCACATACCAATATACACACTACACCTATTCCTAGCTATACGCACATCTGCATGGGAGTATGGATGTACGCATGGGAACATGCACCGCCCAGCTAAAGATCTAGGAGGGAGATCAATTAATGTCCAATCCGGCTGGAGGCCAGTCTGAGCGCTCCCACAGTAAATAGCTGCTTAAAGGAGATTTCATTTTACGCACATTAACAGGCCATGGAGCTGAGCGGAGAGGTGTGATCAGATATCAATTTCACCGCCTGGTGCTGGCGGGCACAGAGCTTCTGCCCTTGGTGCTGGTGCCAAGTGCTAATCCTGCCCTCAGGGTGCCAAGGTGGTGAGAGATTTTTGGGGGGCAGTGGAGCTGGAGGATGTCCTCTCACAGCAGCTCTCCTCTCTGCCTGGCTAGACACTTACTGAGGGGCCTGGCATGCCTGGCGCGAGCTGACAACATGCCATTTAGCAGTGCCAGTCGTCCGAGCTCCCTGTCGAGTCCCGGGGGCAGGTCCTGCATGGAGCAGCACAAGTCATATGGGGAATGAGGAAGGCTCAAACAATGGCTTCATTGTCTCTCTGATTCTGATTCCTAAGGCCGATTCCTCAGCTCCATTTTGGCCACTTTGCCCCACTCTGGCTGTGCCAAGGGGCCGGAAAGGTGGCCGATCCAGCCAGCTCGATACTGGCTCTGGTTTGCCTCTCCGCATGGAGGGCGTGGCTAAAGTGCAAGCTCTTTGGGGGAGGGACTGCCTGCTACTGTGGGTTTGCTGCAGTGTCTAGCACAATGGGGCCCCCACGGTCCTCCCGCAGTAAACATGATGAATAATAACAGCCAGATGAATTGCACTCCAGCAATCCCTTGCTGCCAGAATAGCCCATGGGGGCCATTACCAGCCAGCATAAATTAGAGCAACCTCGAGGTTGCTTAAAACTTGGGCTGAAGAGTGAGCTGGCCCCCGGCAGAGCCAAGGGTTGGTAAAGCAGAAAGGCACTTTTGCCTCCTTCTTGGTCGGTGTGTGGCGCACAGCTGGGACAAACCCATGAATCGTGGACCATGCCTCTGTCTATCTCCCTCTGTTTCTCTCTCTGTGTCTCTCCCTCTCGCTTTGCTGTCCTGGAAGTACCAGACTGCGGCTGGAGCTGTCACATCCTCTTGGCTCTGAACTCACCCCTTTGCCTCCCTGCAGAAAGCTGGGGAATGCTCCTGTCTGGTGAAGGGCAGGGTCCATGTCACAGCACCCAAGGGAATGTCTGCTCTAGTGGGTGGGTGGGGGCACACGTCTCCTAGGGCAGGTTTCAGCCCCGACTGCTGCTGCCCCTGCCCATCCAGCAGCCTCTAAAGAGAGAAGGAAAAGCAAGGCCCAGTGGGGAGGGGGAATCTCAGAGCCTGACAGTCTGGGGCCAGCAGCCGTATTCCTGGAACCCTCCTGATGAGGCAGAGCAGAGGTGGCTTCTCCTGGGGTGGGATCATGGGTGGGTGAGTCACTGGGGAGGTGAGAACAGCCTCGGGGGAAGGCAGGGAAAGGGGGTGAAATGGAGAATGGGGAACAGAGATGGAGAAAGGAGGAAAGTGTCTGACCCAGAGGGCGAGGGAGTGCAGGGGGGCAGCCAAGCAGACACCTACCTGCTCCAGGGCTGCCTTGTGCAGCGGGGCTCCACCTGGGCCCCAGGTGTATATTCCTGAGCTCCTCCCACGTCTCGGCCCTGCCCACATGTGCTCTGGAACAGTGGAGCAGGTGTAGGTGGCACAGGCTGTCAGTGCCCAGCTGAGGGACCCATTCCAGGCCAGGTTCCTGGACAGTGACTGTCTGGCCAATCCCAGGGCATGTACGGCTGTCCCAGCAACATCCACGGTGATTGAAATGCAGTGAGAGGCTGGCATAGAGTTGCCCCAGAGCAGGTAGTGTTGGGACCAGTGGTGGTATCCAAGGCCGTTGGGGGCAGGGGTAACCCCCCTGCCCATCCTGCTGTCACAGCCCTAGTGCAGGCTCCTAGCAACTCTTTCCTCCAGACGTATGACTGTCGATCTGCTCCCTCTGCCCCTACAGGTGCTGAGCACTTGTCCTCCTCCCCGGGCGATGGGTCCCCACTGACCTCCGCACTGTAACCTGCCAGCTGCAGCTCAGCCGCCTGTTGCTAATGCTCGGATGCCAGAGGCCAGCGCTTTGACCAGTGCCGCCTGGTGGCTCTCCTCACTCCGCAGGGACAGGGCCATGGGGCTCTCTGTCCCCCTGTGGCTTTGGCTGCTGCATGCCGCCACGTGCCTCGCCAGCAGCCCAAATCCCAGCTACAGCACAGTGGCCAAGAAGGAGATCAGCACGGAAGGGGACCTGGTCATTGGAGGGCTGTTCCCGGTGCATGAGAAAGGTAGCTCCAACGAGGAGTGCGGCAAGATCAATGAGCACCGAGGGATCCAGCGCCTCGAGGCCATGCTCTTCGCCTTGGACGAGATCAACAAAGATCAGCGCATCCTGCCAGGGATCATGCTGGGGGCCCACATCCTGGACACCTGCTCCAAGGACACCTACGCCCTGGAGCAGTCTCTGGATTTTGTCCGCGCCTCCCTGACCCGAGTGGATGGCTCCGAACACATCTGCCCTGATGGCTCCTACGCCATCCACGATGACGTTCCCATGGCAATTACCGGGGTCATCGGGGGCTCCTACAGCGACGTCTCCATCCAGGTACTATGTGCACTATAGGGCAAGCTGGGGCCATGGGGATTAGAATGAGGGGGCATTGAGGCCCAGGCCACTGGCAGTGGGATATAAGGTGACCTCTGTGTGGCCAGTCTGAATCTAGCTCTGGTTGGCAGAGAGTGAATGTCATTACACTCGGCTGGCTACGTGGTTTTCTACAGTATATGCAATGAGTTTGTGTGTGGGGTCTCAATCCAGATCCTGGTCCCCAGGTGCTCGCATCACAAGAGCTGGTGCTCGCTGGCATAGTCTCAGCAGAGAGGCCAAGGACTAGATGGCTGTTGGAGACCTAGCTGGTTGGATTTGAAGGGGTGTGAGGTGCAGCCATCCCTTCTGTACCTGTTTGGGGGATAAGCAGGGGTCTGAGCATATGGGTGTGACCTCCACACCACGGACCACATCACTGTCCCAGGGAATGAGCGCATGGGTGTGACCCTTGCCCACCCCCAAGGAGTGAGCATATCTGGCTTAACCTATCCTGTGTGCTCCACCACCCACCCCCCAGCCTGAGAGGATGGTGCAGCCTCACACCTGGCTCTCTCATTGCCCCTGGCATATGCTGATTTCTTTATTGCCCAATTTACCATTTAGAAATCGGCCTCCTCCTGACCCAGTGTGGGTTTGCCCCTGTTCCCATGTGTGCACACCCGTGCCACTCATCACTCTCCTGCCCGTACAATGGAAAGCACGGTTCGCGTCGCAGGGGAAGAAAGAGCCACAGACATTCCTTGGTGACACAGTGCTGGCTTGGGGCCTGTCAGTTTAACTGCAGCCTCTCCTGCCTTTTAGGAACCTAAAATTCTCTTTGGGCTTGTGAGAGATCCGGGCATGTCAGCCCAGGCAGAGTGGACGTGGTGTGGCATGTGGTGTGGAGGTCACACCCCATACGTTCAGACCCCTGGGATGGTGATGTGGTGCGATGGTCAGACCTATACGCTCAGATCCCTGGGATGGTGATGTGGCATGTGGTGCAGAGGTCACACCCTTACACTCAGATCCCTGGGATGGTGACGTGGCACATGGCATGGAGGTCACACTTGTATGTTCAGACCCCTGGGATGGTGATGTGGTGCAGTGGTCACACCTGTATGTTCAGACCCCTGAGATGGTGATATGGCATATAGCATGGAGGTCCCACCTGTATGTTCAGATCCTGGGATGGTGATGTGACACATGGTGTGGAGGTCATACACCCGGATGCTCAGACCCCTGGGAGGGTGATATGGCACGTGGTGCAGAATTCACACCCATGCGCTCAGACCCCTGGAACAGTGATGTGGCATGTGGTGTGGAGGTCACACCCTGAGACCTGGTGTGTGCTTGTAGCAGACGTGTATACCCCATATGTTGAACACCGAATGCCTTTGAACTCTTCCCAAGCACAGGCCCTGTGACTTGCCCTGACCTCGTCCACACACTAGTATTTTCCAAGCCCTCTCTCCTTGCTGTGGCCATGATGTTAAACTCAGCCTAACTCAGCTCCCTGCCTGGGAGGGGATGGGCTTTTTATAGCACAGCAGCCATGTTGTGCCTTCCCTGCCCCGCCACGATGCCTCCCTCTCATGGAGAGCCCCTTCCCCCACACACCCCGATTCCACGCAGGTTAGTGGGGGCCTAGATCCCAAAGCACTCAATAGCCCGCCCTCCCGACCACCACAGTACTTAGCTGCTGCTCCCAAGCCTCTCTGTGCTGCATTAATGTTGTAATTAATGCAAATTAATCTCTCATCATCCCATTCAAAGCCTGGCCCAGGGGGAGCAGGAAGCGTGGCTAGGTGAGCCGGCATGGCAGCCAGCCTGGTGCCAGGGCTTTGGGGCACTGAGCCAGGCATGCAAGAAACTGAGCCGAGAGTCTGAGCAGAGCTGGCTCCTTGCAGCAGGCCTGCGTGGGAGAGCCATTCATTCAGCAGAGCCCTGAGCTGCTGCTTGCAAAAGGTGTGTGTGGGGGGCCCCACCGGTGCCCATTCACAGCCCTTCTCTCCCTTCCCCTGCTCTCATGCTCTACCTCAGCTCTGACCCCAATTGCCTCCCTGCGGGAGGGGCCACCAGGGGGCCCCGCCGAGCACACCTGAGACTCCACCATCTGTCGCTAGCATCAGCCGCTTTCCCTCAGGCCTCCTGGGCCAAACGCCTCCCCTTGGGGTAGCTCGGCCAGAGTCGCTGAGATGCAGGCCCAGGGTGGGAGCTGGAACCCTGGCTGGCTGGCGAAGAGACACAGAAAAGAAAGGAGACCTTCATTCATTTATAGCCCCACTCCCTCCCCGAGTGGGTGAATGCCAGGCAGCATCCCTAAACCCCCACACCTCTAGTCCCGCGAGATTGTGCCAGCCATCCACCTTCCCTTCCTGCAGGGCCTTCTTTATTTACTCCCTGGATTCCCCTCCCAAGCAGATTGCTGCACAGCTGGGGCGAGCAGCTCTCCTTTCCCTTCCAGCTCAAGATGATGTCCCCCTGAGCCAGGCTGCCAGGGAGCCCTCGGCCCTGAACCAAGGGGTCTGCAGGGATGGGGACAGGGGGACAAGCAGGAAGTGGGGAAGGGAAACAAGGCAGGAGAAAAGGGAGGTGGGCCAAAGAGCAGGGAGAGGCTGCAGGAGCTGAAAAGATGGGGGTGCAGGAGCTGGATGGTCAGCTGTAATGTATGTTTGAAGTGCCATGAATAGCATTCCAATGGGGCTGCAGGAAGTAAAGGGAGCATTTTCTCTTTGAAGCTATTGTAGATGAAGCAAGAGAAAAAGGAGGAGGGGAAGGAAAGAAAGGGATGGGGGAGGGATGGATGGACAGATAGAAATGATGATGGGGCCAGACAGACAGGCAATTAGATACATCGACAGCCCAGAAGGTGGGTAAATCCATCGCTGGGCAGACAAAAGGAGAGGGAGATTGGCAGTGAGATCATTAGGCAGCTCATTAAAAAGAAGCAGCTAATTAGCTGCAGTTGCAGACACTGTCCAGGGCTGGGGACAGAGCTGCACGGCACTGAGGAGAACACGGAGCCGTTTATTAATAATTCTGGGCTTTCCTAGCTCTGCGTGCATCTCCTCCAGGCTGCAATAAAGCAGAGCATGCTTGCAGTCTCCCCTGGGCTTCGCACAGAGAGCTCCAGGTTTGATCCAGCTGAGACATCACATTTCTGAGGCCTGCATTGAATTAGGACGTTCCCCCACCCCAACAGCGGCACACGCGCTCCCCGCTCTTTCCTCACTGGGTGCTCTCCCTCTCTCTCTCAACACTCCCTTCTGGGAGCAGCAGCCCCTCGTTCTGCAGGCTGGCTTGAGGACCAGTAGCTGAGTGTAAGGAGAGTGCAGCCTGCCCAGCACCGGGCCAAAGGTGGCTGTGAGCTCAGATGCAGGGCAGTGGGGCCCCAAGTGTAAATTAGAGCAGTCCCAGGCACTCAGCCCTATGCTGTGCCTGTGTAGGGGGGATTCTCTCCCAGCTACACATGGTGCCTGTATCGGCCCCTATATGTTTCCAGAGCAGTGCAGGGTTGGATCTCTCCTTGCCTGTCTGCTATGCCAGACACCTTCGGCAGGTATAATTCACCTAGCTCCCTGCAGCCCCTCCTGGAGGAAAAGTCAGTGCTGCATGTTTTCTTGTTTCCAAGTTCATAGCTAATGCTAGTCTCTATTATCCAGAAGGGCCTCCAAAGCATTTTCACAGACCGCAGGCACCCAGCATTGCTCTCTGTTACGGCTCTGTGGGTGTAATCTGGATTAATGCCGCAGGATGTGACTGCTAGCTGGATATACAGGAATTGTGCACCAACGCTGAGATGTAGCCACCTCGGGTGGAACACAGCAGCTGTTCGAAGCCAGCTAGGCGAGACACTGGAGCCAGTTCAGCCTGCTGGGAGAAGCGAGCAGGAGTGGTTAGGGCAGCAGGATGCAGTTACTGGTGGGAAGTTTGCTCAGATGCGGAGGCTGATGCTGCCCTGTTCTTGTGAAAAGCAAGACGAGGTTTTTATCAGTCATGAGTGGTTGAGGAGCACTCCTCTGAAAGGTGGCATTGCCAGCAGCACAGTGCCCCCTATGGCAGAGTCACAAAAGGGTATCACTCCCCAAGTCACCAGCATCACTCCCTGTAGCACCTGTTTTTTTCCAGTCTGCTGCTGAGGTTATTGCTGGCCAAGATGCTGGTTTTGGCCCAGATCTTCCAAGGTGTTTAGGCTCCTAACTTCCATTAATTTCAAGGGTCCTAAATACCTTGGGATCTCTGGACTTTCCCCCTTCTTTCACTTCACTGAAAACTCCATTAGCTTGGGGCTGAGGGGATGGTTGGGTGTCTCATAACTACCGCCTCCCCTGGTCATTCACCCACTTGGCTCTAAAAGGGCTGCATAAGTCACTGACCCCTTTGCAGACTCAGCATGGGCCTCTGCCACTTACTAAGCTGTAGCATTGGGCTGATCTTCTGCATAGGGGCAAATTGCACCCACAACCCCTCCTTTCTGCTTAGCCCAGGCACCCTGTTTAATATGGACTCGCCTTGTTCCTGGCCCCCACTCCATGTAGTGCTTTCTTGCCTTCACGCCATATAGAGCCTTTCATCTGGCAGGGTCTCGAGCCGTTTCACAGACTTATCCCCTCAATCTTTGGAATCGCAGTCAGTGCAGCTGTGCTGATTTCTACCAGGATTGGATCTGGCCTTGTGTACATTCAGATCACTCCCACCACCTGGTAATCAGCCTCTTCTGCAGCAGTGCAGGACAGTGAGGTGGAGGGGCTGGAATTTAGGGAACAGGAGGTAATTGCCAATAGCCAGGACCCTAAGTTTAATGAGGAATCTTTATGAACCACAAGCGGTTGGAATCTAACCAGCACAGTGCCCCCTGGGTATTCACTCAGTCCCGATTCAGCCAGAGGAGAGCGACCTACTAGCACAAAAACAGGGCATTGTGTCACATGGTTCCTTCCTGCAGGGTACAGGGTTTCCTTGGCAGTCTCCTAGCTAAGGACGAGGCCAAAATTTCCCCTGCAGTTCCACCTGGATGTGGTATTCTCCTGCACTCCCTAAGTTAACCTGTTGGTTAGTGTGACTGTCCACTGTTAAAAACAGCTGCCATGTTTCACCCCAGAGGTGGCTGCATGGCAGTGCAGGTGAGGTGATTTTCTTATAAGTGGTTGTAGGCCTGGCTTGACATGAATAATTAGACATGGGTGAAACCTCATTTCTCAGAAGACAGGATTAGGGAGGTAAATGGATCAGCAGCCTGGAAACAGAATGTCTGCACTAGCTAAGACAAGGGTGAACCCCCAGGGAACCATTTACAATGGCCAAGATAACAATCAACAAGATAAATTGGGACCATAAAGATGATGTAAAGAGTAAGTCGTGCGTGGACAGAGCATGCTGTACGGGGATTGTACAGCCAATCCTTAAACGTGTGATGCAGTGTATAGTAAATGCAGTTTAATCTGGAAACGTCTATAAAGAAAGAAGTTTGCTGTGTAACTTTGGGTGGGGGTGGTATGCCCTGTTCCCACCCTCTACTCTTGAGGCTACTCAACTCAAGTGTCGTTTGATTGCATGCCAATAAAGAAACCTCAGTGAGGAGTTCAGAGTCGAGCTGAATTCTTAGGAACTGAGGGAATGAGATCTTGGAGGCCACTGGGTGGATAAGGTCTCAGAAGCCACCCCAACGTACTCCTGAGCAGATAAGGTCTCAGAGGCTACCCCAGAACTGGGCTGGTGGAAGTCACAGGGCTCTGCTGTGAGCAATACAAAGTTCTTGAGGCTGGTGGATGCAGACTGAGGCCTGGGCTCTCTAGGTCTTGGCATGGAGTAAACAGCCCCGGAATGGACGGCTGCCTATGCTACCCGGTGAGGTGCTAGATTCCCAACGTGACCTTCCTCGCAAGGCCTACAGTGGCTTGGATCGCGCCTTTGTATGCCAGCTTGGCCTGTCCACTTTCAGAGGCCTGCTGCCTGCCTGCTCGCCCCGGGAATTCACTGGAAAGCACTTCCTGACTGGGATTTCGCTTCCCAGGGAACGTGTTTATTTCACTCTCTGTGCTTGTCTCTGCATGGAGCCTTTCCCACGGCTTTAACAGAGTCGGCTTAACCAACAATAATCTCAATGTTCAGGTCCACCCCCCCGTCTGCCAGGCTGCTCCCTGCAAACACTGCAGCCTCTCTCCGGCAGGCGTAGTGCCGCCACTTGTTCTGGATGACCAGGACTGCCCTCTGGTACTTCTTGTACTGGCTCCTTGCACGCCACATCCTGACCAGTGATTGCAGGAGGACGGTAGCTCTCATGGGCCTCACGTACATTGCCAGCGCCGTGACCCGCCTCTCCTCCTGCTGCCAGAATGAGACCCGGCGCCACCACCTCTGGATCACCAGCACGCAGAGCATCGCTTGGCGCACCGTTCGCCGGGTGAGCACCCCCCGCCACCACGACTGGATGGCAATGGCAGATTTGCTGCTGGGGTCCTTCTCTGGTGAGGGGGAGAGAGGGGGAGAGATTGCTTTCTGCTGTGAAGAGAAGACAGGAAACCATCTGTTGCTACGGGAGAGGTAGCCACTAAAGCACAGATTTCTATTGCTTGAGCTAAAGGAAAAGTTCCATTATCTGACAGCAGTAGTAGGTTGCTACCTTCTATGTGGCCTAGGCCCTAGAAGGGGACATGACACCCACTTTATGTTTATTGAACATCTTTTTGCCTAAACATAGGTGTCCACATAGGCCATAAATGGGCACCTAAGAGACCAGCCAAAACTAGCTGCTTCATTGGGGTTGATCCAGCCGAGCGACCAATCACAAATCTGTGAAGCTGCTGACACAGTACCATGCGCACTGCCAGTTTCGGGGAGCCCTATAGGGACTTAAAATACCAGCCTGAGCCTGCAGGAGGGGTCTCCAACGCCCATGGGGTGAGCTGTTGTTTTGGCTGGCCAGTCACTGGAGAAGGCGGAATCCCGCTCGACCTGTTGGTGGAGATGCTGGGAGAGTGTTGGGGCTGTTGCGGCTCTGAAGGAATGTCCGGGCCTGCCTCTGTGCTCTGCACTGGGAGGAGTGGAAATGGAGAACCAGGACCGGCTTTCCAGGCCTGGCAGAAAAAGACCATCACAGAGAACCGGAAGGATTCCTGGAGCTGTTCAGAGAAGAGAGGCTGCTCCGAGCCAGGCTCCCCCTGAAATCTGACCCAGTTTCCCCAGTTCCACTGGTCATGCTACATGTCTTGGCACTGGCCATTCAGCTCTTGCCAGCTTTTGCCTAAGCCCCCTTTGGCTTCCAGAGCTGGGGGGGGGCGTCTTTAAAAGTGATATGAAGGGAGCTGTCAGGGGGCAGATCCGTGCTGGGTGACACCCGCAACCCCCACTGAGCTGTGCCTGGGGGTTCGGAGTCAAAGAAATCCCGCCTGTGAGATGGAGGATACTCACGTCCATAGCTGCTGCCTGATCTGGAGCACCCAGCTGCTGCAGGGAGTCTGGAGCTGCCAAGAGCTGCCTCTGAGCATCATCGCCGCCTCCCAGGGCAGAGTCTGTGACCATGGAGTTCTTCAGCGCCTTGGCATCAGGCTTCTTCCTGGGGCTGCCCTCCAGAGCCTTCACGCCCGCCATGGAGGAAGGAAAGAGAAGAGCTGCTCAGCGTAAGGATGGGAGGGAGGTCGCAGGGCTGACAACTGCAGCCCAGTGAAGGTGAAAAGTCCCCACCGCCCATCAGTGAGGCTTCCCCTCGTCAGCACCTGCCGGTGTTACCCTGACTTTCCCCGAGCTTGTCAGGGATCCAAAAGAACAGGTGTGGGAGCTAGAGCCAGGCAGACTGGGTGTGCTGCAGTCTGCCTCAGAGATAGGTGTAACTGAGAGCAGCAGAGCTTGGCTCCTAGAGACAGGCGGACATACACAGAGACAGGTGGAGACATGGGACTGCCCAGTTGGGATCGGACTAGTGCACCAGTTAATCCAGGGGCTGGTGCCAGCTGCTGCAGAGGACGGACAGTTTGGGGATAACCTGCCCCAGGGGAGAGAAATCCAATCCCAGGGCTTGGCCTGGCTGCATTGACTTTGGTGGGCATTGTCTACAGGCGGCAACCCCAGTTATTTAGTTTAATTGCAAGTTTATTCATTAGCACCCTCATCATCGACAGCTTCAGCCCTTCTGCAGTCAGTGCAATCGCACCCACCCGACGGTGTTGGTCCCAAAGGCTGGTACCAGGCACATTAGAAAATCTTTCCATATCCTCTTCCTGGTTTGGGTGGAAACATAACCCTTCCATGATCAGCCTCTTCGCTCAGGGGTGGGGGTGGGTTGAGGAGAAGCAGGGAATTTAGTGCTGGAGAGTTGAATGCAATGGAGGGGGAGTGAAGGCAGGCAGTGGACCCCATCCTGAACAAGAGATTGCCTCACTGAGAGTAAGGAGGCAGGTGGAGTCAGTCAAACCTAGGCTTCTCCACATCAACCCTAGGCTTCTCCTCCAGTGGATCCCCCTGCTGTGTCCTGAGAGAGCTACACTCTCCTAGCAGGGGAGGGAAAACCTTCTCCCCATGGTTTGCCATCCTCGGCTTCTCCATTTGCCTCCATTATCCATGGTTTCTCGAGAAGATCTACCACATTCTGCCCCAAGAGACGATCCTCTCCTCAACAGTGGGCTTGGGGAAGGGACATGGTGCCTATAAAGGGATCTGTGTCTGGCAAGTTTCTACTTCTGGGTTGATATTACCCCCCTCAACAGCCAGATATAAGAGAGTGTTATCTGTGAGTAATGCACTCCGTACGGGAGGTTTGCTTTTTCGTGCCCCCATGAGGCACCTCACATCTCAGGAGAGGACCATGTTTCCCTGGGATGGCAGGACTTCACTTTTCATCAGCTGAGGGTCTTTTAGGACACTAGCATCAGCACCCTGTGGCGAGAGCTGTGATGTTACAATGGACACCGACATCACCAGTCAAGCTGGTCAACCCAGGTAACGGATGAGACAACAATAGACCTGCCTTGACCGCTCTGCTGTTGGTCGTTGGCTGGGTTGGAGGCAACCCAGATCCATGTGGGTCACAGACGTGGAAAACCTTGGCCTCAGAAGGCATGTTCAGGGTTTTTTATGTCCTTGCTGAACCCCAGGGGACTGGGGGCAGAGTGTGGAGAGGTGAGGCATTGAAGAAACAGCAGGGAGTCAGTGGTTGTTCCTCAGGGTAACTGCAGGAGGAAACATTATCTGTCTGTTGCTGGTATCTTTTTCATCATTCTTTTCTCTGTACAGCTGTGAACATGGGCACAGCTGTGAACATGGGCACATCTATACCCGTTTTGTTCTCTCTCACTTCCATGCACCTGGTCAAATCCTTCTCTCACACCAGTGTCTTCCCTGGAATCACTGAACCTGTCTCTCTCATCTTCATAGTCCACAACTAACCCTTCAGGGGCTAGTAGCCAGTGGCTCCTTGAAGGTGGGAGATTTACATGTATTGGGAATCGTGACCACCAGGAGACTGGCTGGCTTAAGGAACAGGTATAGCCCTTCCCCCTCTAAGATCTATAGTTCAAATCTAGCCCAGGCCAGTAGTGGCTGGAAGTCCTGGTGTATGATGGGCCATTTGAGAGCCTCTATAAGACAAGTTGGTGGCCTCACCTTTGGTTCCTAGTGGACGTGGGTCTGTGCTACATTGGGACTGTTTGGAAGCCTGGTGGCAATCTCAGTAAAGAAGCCAGGACTCCATGGCCCTACAGAGAGTGAAAATGCCTCTCGCCCCTGGAGCTGGCACCTTTCATCAGCGCTTAATTCTCTTTTAACAAAGGCCTGGTGGACATTCCCAGCGCCGTCCTCCCCTCGGGTGCCTGCTGGGACTCTGGGGGCAGGATGAGCATGTGGGAGCACTGGTGTTACCTGTAAACAGGGCGTGTTGCTTTCCATCCTCCTTGCTCCCCTGGGCGCACTGCACAGCTCCAGTGCACCTGGCTCCGGCTCTGCTCCCTGGGCAAATTGGGGGAGAGTAGCCTTTCCTGTGACAATACATTGTCCCAGCCCTGTGTTAGGCCTGCAAGCTGTAGAAGGGGTTGGGGGCAAAGGGGAAGGAGGGGAGCAATGAAATGTGCTGCCCTGCGGGATTTCAGTCCCAGCAGTGCTATCATGCTGGAAAGTGCCAATCTCACCCCCAAGTGGCATTAAAACTTATGAGCATGAGGCAAGGGCAGTGCCAACGGAGGGAAGGGCAGCAGGCAGAATCGTGGCAAAGGCAGAGCTGTGCTGGCTGGTCTCCTTCTAGCAACAGAATCGTTCCGGCTACCATTCTACCAAGTGGGCTCATGGCACAAACAAAGCTCTGCTGGCCACTAGCATTTTAGCGAGCAGGCAGGTTCATGGCTGTGCCAGACTGGGATTTCCCTATACCCCCCCGAACTCCCCCATTTACCCCAGTGGTTAGCAGAGTGTACCTCATGCTTGGCTAAGACAAACACTCCCTGGCAATGCTCAACTTCTGTACAGCCAGATTCCAGGGACATTTGAGGGCACCGGGGTCAATCAGGTCACAGCGGTTCCTAGGATGTTAGCTTCCCACTGACGGGGACAGTCATAAAGAGCACAAGCTTACAGACAGCCTCACTGCAAGCTAAGTGACCCAGGCTCTGGCAGTGCCTTATCACTTCCCCTTTCAGGGGCTTGGTTTGCCCACCTCAAAAATGGGGACAGCAATCCCTGCTAACCTTACCTTCATTTGTTTTTAGCATCACATGAGCTGGAACCAGCAAATTGTGTGGTAGGGCCCAGCTCCTCAAAGGTACTTAGGTATCAACTCCCAGAAGTGTTAGGCACCTTAATACTTTTGAGGATCTGTGCCTCGCTCCCTGTGTGACCACACAATCTCAATATCCTGCGTCCTGTCTCTCCTTCTAGTTCTAACATTCACTTGTAGCATGGTTCACATTAGATAGTAAGAGGGTAGGGACTGCATTTCCATATGCTTTTGTATAGTGTCGAGAACCATCAGGCCTCAGTCCTGATTGGGACCTTTGCGTGGCACCATCATTATGGACATTAATGCCTTGCCAATGCCTGGACAGCTTTCTGGAAGTGCCGTCCCTTGGCCTTCAAGCGTGTCTGTTGCAAATTGTGAAAATAGGATTGTTCTCAAGAGTGCAGAGAGCCCATTGCTAAATTGCACCATGCAGGGAGTTCCAAAGGGTTTGGATCTTGCTGGCAAAGGATACCCAGCTCGTGTTAAGTATCTCCCCCTTCTACCCAACTCCAGAAGTGCCAGTCGCCAATTTTGGTGTAACAGATTGAGCAGAGGTGGATAATGGGGCCATAAACTGGTCAAACAGATCTGATGAGAAGAGGGGAAAGTAGAGAACCCATCAGAGCCCCATCTGCCCAGGATTCACTAGACGTGAGAGCTGGAGGGAGCCACTGAAAAGCAAAAGGACAATGCCCCACTGGAGGTCACCAGTTGGCGTCAGCCTGCCAACTCCCTGAAGACTGTGGCTGTCACATGGTGCCACTCTCTCTGCAGGCTCTGAGGATGTTAGGGGGAGGAGGCAAGGGTGGGGTTCTGCTGAACAGTTGGCAGTAAGAGGAAGTACCACTGCCCTTCATCACATGACACACTGGGTGTCTCTTGCAGGGGTTCTGTCCTTCCAAGTAAGATAAGGAAGGCATCCCCCAGGTGAGGCTCTGAGTTCTCCTGCCAGATCAGCAAAGGTCTGTCCTAGATGCTTAGGTACTACTTGGATATCTAAGTAGCTCCCAGATACCTGGATACCTACAAGATATCTCAATTCCTCCCAGATGTCTAGCCCTCTCCTTGGGACAGCCAAATGCTCAAGTACCTCCCAGCTGTCAAGATAGCCCCAGCTGTGTTTGGGAATTCTACCTTCTCACAGTGAGGAATTGCCTTCTGCATTTTAATCAGGACTGGTATAATCTGGCACGATCCCAACTTGTGCCTAACGAGAGTCAGAGCCCACTGGAACCAGAATGTGATTGGCGGACTGTGCGCCTGAACGTTGTGATCATTTGGCAATAGGACATGACAGGGAGTGAATTGTTCTCCATTAATTTGCACCTCGTGTGCCTACGGTCAAGTGCCTTCGATGACGATGCCTGGTGTGAATCAATGCAGGTTAATTCGCAGTCTCTGGTGCCTTATTGCCATGAGGAGTGTAATATTCTGTTAAAAACATATTTGTACATGTTAATTAAGCAGTGGAGATTTCCACATCATCGGGGGCTGGGAAACCAGCTCCAGATACCAGCTCTTGCCAGCCAATCAGATCACAGGCTTCTTCTCGCCTGCCTCTTTGACAGTCTGTATTTTTAATAGCCTCATTAGTGTGGATTTTTCCCCTTTGAAGGTAATGAGAATTGCTGCAGAGCATCTGGAAGAGCAGCCAGCGCGAACTGTTTGGAGGGGGGAGGAAGGGGCACGCGCCAGCGCTTGTTATGATCTCAATGGCTGGACACATGCGGTGGAATATTCTGCTCTGGCCCATTGTTTTTTTCATTCTCCTGTCCTTTCTCTTCATCTGTCTGGGCTGAGATATGCCCACGCTGCACCAGCTCACAGGTGAGACTTTTGAAGGGTGGAAGTATTCTGAGATGAGTTGCTGGTGCTCCACCTCTCTCAG